GAGGTAGAAGCCACACTCGGCCGGCGGGTGCTTGTTGTGGTCGGAGGAGGGCATGGAATCGCACATGCCTAAATTCTGATTAGTGAAAGAGTGTGGTGTGTGTGTGTATCTGTAAATCTTCTATATTTGAGGGCACTTTCTTTTTCATTTTCCATTCTATCTATCCTGGGGGAGTATTAATAGAAGGTCGAGGTGGGGATCTGTTTTCCCTTTTTTTCTTTTCCTTAATTTGTTTATTCAATTTTTTTTTTCCCAAGATTTTGTTTTTTTAATTTGGTCGTAAATGGTAATTTCTGTGTATTGTGGATGTTGGGGAGATGGTGGTGGGGAGACTACTCTTTATTTTTGCCCTTTTTCGGAATTTGGGGTGCAGAAAAAGGTAATATTATTTTTCTGGATTGGTTAGATTCTGAGGCAGTCCCACTGTGCAATTTCCAATAGCATTTGAAATACTGGGAGATTTTGACGAGAATTTTTTACAGTCTTTGATCATTAATCATGGCCTCTCCAGTTTCCAGTCTTCACTGCCCTCATTTCCCTTCGGCAATAACAACGCTCTGCAGATTTACAGGGAAATTTATATTGTATTTTTTTTTTTCTTTTTTTCTCTAAAATCAATCGCTATTGGTGTCAGCAGTCCTACTGGACAGAGTCTTTGTAAAAATTTAAAGTATCAACGCATGTCGCCTAATATTTAATTTTTGGATATGTGACTGCAAATTATTCACCAGATTCTGATATATATAAGATTTGAAGTAGCAACTCATCGATATGTAGTGGATATATGACGTCCCTCAAAAACAATACTGTCTCGTATTCGACCAACAGTGATGATGTTGTAGCGTGTATAAACCTACGTAACACCCACAACTTAGGCCTAATTCACACTTTAAAAATTAATATAGAATGCATACTAATATAGAATCCCATCTGTACATGATTCAAGGCGAGGAAACACCAGTTTATTGGAGCATAAAAGATTAAAATGTGTAAAAGATAAAATGTCCAACAATATTTCTCAAAAGATTGTGAGTATAAATGTAGTGGGTTGACCCATCTTAATTATTTTATTACTAAAATACATATTTGATTTTAGGGACTAGCTTGTAAAATAATTAATATATATCTCACTAACACATTTATATTAATATAAATTTGATTTTAGTTTATATATTTATTCCTTGATATAAGAGAAAATAATAGGTTTACTTATTATTGTTCACCATATAATACAAAATTATTATTTATTATAAAACGCCTAGCATGTGAAATGGATGCATAAGGATGTTGTGTTCAGCCTGAAATACAATCATGAAGTAAACTTTGTTGTCATATAATGTCATTATTATTTATAAAAGTTATACAAGTTGTACGTCTTCTTTTTTCCTCTATTTTATGTAATGAAAAATATTTAATGCACGTTACTATTATTTATTTATGTAATCAGTTTAAAATATGCAAATAAATTTAAAATGATTAATAGTGTATAAATATTTTACATAATTATACACATGTTTTTTTAAAATTTAATTTTGTATACTAATTAAACAACTTTGATTTAGCAAATGCCAAAAGCTCAATCCCTTCTATAATCAAGATTTTTTAATTTGCACTATAAGAACTTAGTTTATTTAGCATACTCTGCAATGATAATATATTTTTCAAGAACTTCATTATAGAAAGAAATCGAAATAAAAAAAATGAGTAAAAAAATAATCATGGTTGTCAATAATATACAAATAAATTCTAGAAGAGGTAATATATTTCAATTATAATTTTTGAACATTAGTAAAACTATTTAATGTATCTGGTCATTATCTCTTAAATAGTAAATTATATTAATTTGAAGAATAATTTATTTTTTTTATATAACAAAATAAAGCTTAAGAAAAAATTATATTGAAAAAGATTAATTCTCCAACTTGATTTCGCATGATTAATTAATGGAAGAAAAAATTCTACCTAACCTGTTAAGATTTTCTATAAATATTTTTAGATAAAAGGTGAGTATTTGTGAAAAAAAAAAGAATAATATTATGGTTAGAACTTAAAATATGTTGTAATATTTATCCTCACCAATATATTATTAACATGGATCACAAAAAATCAATCTTGTAATTTATTATAATGGATATTAATTATTGCAGATATTAATAAAATTATTTAAGGAAAGAATATTTTTTATCATATCTGATTTGATCGTATTTGAAACCTGTATATGGAAGCAATTAATGCATATATTTAAAAAATTTCCAAAAAAATGTGTGCATTAAATGCTCCCAAAATTTTTTACTCTTATTATTGGTAAATAATTATTCTTATTATATATATATATATATATATAATATAGATGTCCCCATATTCCACACATGGGATGCCTGTGGCCATGTATAGACAAAATCGCTGAGTTTCCATTTTAGTACACTAGAAAGCCCTATGTCATGTCTGTTATTCTGTGCACACATACAGCTACATTGTTAGAGATGAGGATGTTATATATTTTAATACAATAATGGAGAGATAGTTTTTTATTTACCTCATAGACTAATTTTATTATTTCCAGATAAGCGTTTGAAACCGTTTTCAATTCAAAGAGTTGTATATTTTATGGCCTGCTGGTCAATTTAGTTCTAGTATGTATATTAGAAAATTTTATGGATAAATTGGTGCTTAGTCACCTGAATTAAAATAATATATTAGTAATTCCTTCAGAAACTACCTATTTATTAGAAGGTTAGCTTAAAGTTTATACCATAATGTATTGGAAGGATAACCTAAAAACGTTATGAAATTTTAATTGTGGCAAGGAGTTTAAACGATTAGTCGGGTTGATTTGTCGTACTTTTAAATAAATGTATTACTTATATTGTTAAATGATATATTTTTATTTATTGTTTTATAAATGTATATCATTTGCATGTGAAAGTATGGACATAAATTTATTCTCAAGATTAAACTACCTTAATTTAAATATATTCATTGTGTTTTCCAGCTTTCCGCCTTCGTCAAGATCTAGGGAAGGACTTCTTGATAATTGTTGGATAAGGTGTTCCTTGATACTTCCGGACGTGTGTATGTATATCTCTTATTTATGGGCAAAATAATAAGTAACATGCAAAAAGAGTTTTTGGTCCCGGCCCTTATCTGACCTCTATGTTAGATTTGGTCCCGCAAAATGTCTATTTTTTGTTTTAGTCCTTCATCTGAAAAATAATTAGAATTTGGTCCTCTAACCGGTTAAATCCGGTCAATGTCACTGGGATGGTGACGTGAATCTTTTATATAATTTTGATTTTTTTTTTCAATAAATAAGAATACGAAAAAATAGTATTGAAAAAGTAAGCTTAGTTATCGTTTGTATATTGTCAATGTTGAAAATATGATGCAAAAAATAAACTGATACCAAAGAATTCAAATAACTGAAAAAGAAGGACACACTTATGCTACTATTTTCTTTACTTGCCTATTTATTTTGAGTAGGTTTTGTATTAGAACGGCATAACCATAAGATCGGCATACTTTTATTCCAACTATGCATGTTTTTTATTAGAAAATATCATACTTCAAAGTATGACATTTGATTGTATAAGTATGCATTTTTGTTCATGAAATATAGCGGGACCCGCCTAATGTTTACTCTGCCTCATCCATGAATTTGTAATTTTTTTCAGAATGTACTCAATTCTTATTTCATTTCATAGTATAAAGAACACACGTATAATTTTGATACCATCATAGACATATGTCATTTATTTAATAAAATGAAATATGAGTTTAAATATTAAAACAAATGATCTCATGCCCTTTTTGTTATCTCTATAAAGTTTCAATATCCAAAATAATAAGTACTACAATTGAGAGCAAACTAGAATTCCTGATACGATTTCAACAAGTGCATGAGTGATGTAAGTTATTACTTGAAGTCCTAATAGGATTGGGTCTATAGTAACAATGTATGCACAACCGCCATATAAGGGTCAGTTTGGTTGCAATAATGGATTGAGCATGATATAATCATTCTTGAAAAAATCAAAGGCTATTCAACAGATAAATTAGCACATTAACTTGTTTGGTTTAAAATTGATAATACATAATTTAAGTTGAAATTACTTTTGTACACTTCATTGGATATTAAATTTTCAAAATTTGCACTTTACACAGAAACACGGACTCTCTGTTCATCTCCTCATCCTTCCTCACCCACCACCGCCAATTGGATGGGTTGTG